AACTAACCATTGGAGTCAATTAATTTCACTTATAGGATCTCATCCTCAATACGTTGTCCATCACCACTAACATTTTCGTGAACCGGGGTCTGGGAAATGATAATGACCAGCTGCGGTTACAAGAAGACATCAATGTCTTGATGCAGTGTTTAGAGGTATGCAAGGTGGCTAATGAAGTTTCCCAGCAGAAGGTATACCCAATTGAGGAAGTGGTTACCAATGGTGATAGTGACCAAATAGTAGTTAAATCCAATGGCTATCACATAGTGGATATCATTCCAGCAAACCCAACACCTGAACAGCTCAACAAGTGATTATCTATCACTCATGGCTTGCATCAATCCACGTGATATCCTTTGTCATTTCTCCCCCGACCAGCGTCTAAGAAGAATACATATAATGCTGTTTGTCTTCTTAAGGCTTACTTGTTTGTTAATAAATAGGCTGGAAAGGGTCTGTTAAGTCTTTATCGACTTATACACCTTGCAACACAGAACTGGATAAAAAAAGAACCGATGCACAGAGAATATATTAAAGGTAATAGACCGCCTACATAAAATGTTCCATGACAGCAGCTGTAGCAATCGAAACTATGACAACCGTATCTACCTTATACATTGCTGGTATTAGGAGAAAGTGAGATTTAGAAGTAAAAAGAGAAATTATTAACTTTTGCCAGAATATTGAGACTTGCTTGTATAGCGATGGGAGATATAATAACACAGAAGAGCTATAGGTACAGATGGTAGAGACTCACAAGCAGATACTAGGGCCAGAGCATCCCTTTACTCTTACCAGCATAGCCAACCTGGCATCAACATACCTAAGTCAAGGACAACGGAAGGAAGCAGAAAAGCTACATGTACAAGTAATAGAGACTTTCAAGCAGGCGCTCGGGCCAAAGCATCCTTACAGTCTGACCCGCATACACAATCTTTCCTTTACCTGGGAGTACATAGGAAAACTCTGCAATTCCTTGATGTTGATGAAAAAATGTGTTGAACTTTACGTCGAACTGTTTAGCCCTTACCATCATATACTCTCTCTTCCTCTAGGGTTCCTCACCAGATAAGCCCCCACGAATAGCGGTTTAACAGGAAAGTGATCAAAATTCTCTAAATCTCTAAGGCCATCATTATATGAGCGTGCCTTTCTCTGATCACCGTAGCGTCGAACTCGCAGGTGAACCCATTAAATCAAAACCAGACTCTGCAACGCACCGAAAGCGACCACTTTTCAAAACAATTTTTTGGAGAGAGTAACAGTTCCACATGACACAGAAAAGATTGTTTGCCTTATAATCACTAGAAATAATCTATTATATCAGCTTTTAGGCGTGTCTCATGATGCCTATGTTGTCTAAAGCTCTATTCCAGTAAGAATAGGTTCCATAAAGTACTGAAATGGTTGTTCTGGCTGACCGTAGCACCCGCCTTGGCGCCCCCCTTTATGATTGGTTATTCTGCGATACCTCATTATACATTGATCTTCATGGGTGCTGTTAGAATCAGGTAATTTCTTCAGCTTTTCGTATTATATATTGTTTCTATGTATCGTCTCAGGCCACAACATGTGAAGCGCGTCTTCCAGTGGAAAAAGTCGCATAATTATTTATACTCTATACCCGTTTTAGTGTGGCTTGGCACTAGGGCTGGAAAACAATCCCAAAGTCATCGAGCATGAAACTAATTTCGAAATAATCTGTATCATTCATGCTATTAATTGAGACCTCAGATAATGTCCCTCCTCCTTGCCTAAGTCCGCAGCCAGTTTAACAGACTGAGAGGGTCTACATATCCAAAAGATAAAGAATACTCAGTTCTTCTCTTGAGATATTATCGACCGCAGATCGGCAAAAGCGGAATCACGAGATGAGGCTGCTTGCATCTCCCTTACTAGATTGCCCACATCTTCTTCGTTCCCAGACCGCAGGATATCGATTAAGTACATGGAGATATGTCGGTGGATTTCTGCGTCTTTCTCTGCAGCCTTCTGTGTTAATCTTCGCCGTTTATCAGTTAAAGGCTCGAAAGAACACTCGGACTTCGATGCAGCGCATGCCTCGCAAGGAGGCGGGCCACTGCACTTTCAAATATGAGCACTTAAAAGTAGAGAATGGGGCACGAAAACAGTACGTACTTTCACCCTTTTTCGTTGACAGGATGTACAAGCTAAACCCCGCCGCTTTGACTTTCTCTCAACGCGGAGAATGGGGGTATGACGCCTATCAGGACCACGATATTCTGCAGGCAATAGTGTTCTAGGTTGGGCTGCGGGACTGGTCATTGTCAATGATCGAGCTAGTGCTGGTCTGTAGTGAAGACAAGAGCTGAGAAAATGTATAACTGACGAGATCAGACTTACAGGAAATGCTCGCCGACGGTTCTCTATAAGACACTTTTTTGCTCCTCTTTGTTGGCTTATCGATGTTTGCTGTTTCTCAAATAACTGCCGCTGATTATGCATGTTTGCTCAGACAAACAAAGGCTGGGCTTATGGAGACAAAGAAACCAGCGTAACATGGGTCCTTGTGTAACATTAATTTTACAGATTTATCCTCGTCTTTTCTTTTGTTTC